GAGCTCCAGATAAATGTCAGATAAATGTCAGTGGACTCACTCAGCCACACTTTCACTGCCCATGAGTGGTCACTCAAGGGAGAGGTGCTACAGGAGATCTTCCGGAGGTGGGGTTATCCCCACTCGCTCCTCTCCCATGTGCTGAGAAGCCCTACTCTTCTGGAATTTCTGTATAGCCCACAATATTCAGGTGGAAGCTGCATATTTATCGAGTAACAGTGATGTCTTGGTGGACACACTCAGCCACACTTTCACTGCCCATGAGTGGTCACTCAAGGGAGAGGTGCTACAGGAGATCTTCCGGAGGTGGGGTTATCCCCAGGTGAATCTATTCACCTTTCACAGAAACAAGAAGTGTCCGGCCTACTACTCTTACCTGGGACAGGGTCCGGAGGGGGGCACACGACACACTTTAGTAACCGATTGGCCCACAGTCCTCCTCTATGCGTTCCCCCCGTTTCCCTGATACACAAAGTCCTCATGAGGGTGAAGAAGCACAAGGCCACAGTCATTCTAATAGTACCAGAATGGTCCAGGCGTATTGGTTTCCTGTCCTCCTAGACATGATACAGGAGGAACCTATAGCCATGCCCACAGTCCCAGATCTAATCACCCAGGACCTGGGGGAGGGGCATCTATGCCACCCAAACTTACTGTCTCTCCACTGGCAGGCTTCCTGCCGGGTGTTTGTGTCCAACTTGAGTCACAAGGCGGTCTTAGTGCTAACAGACAACACAGCAGAGATGTTCTATATCAACAGATAGGGTGGAACTCGCTCCTCTCCCATGTGCTGAGAAGCCCTACTCTTCTGGAATTTCTGTATAGCCCACAATATTCAGGTGGAAGCTGCATATTTATCGAGTAACAGTGATGTCTTGGTGGACACACTCAGCCACACTTTCACTGCCCATGAGTGGTCACTCAAGGGAGAGGTGCTACAGGAGATCTTCCGGAGGTGGGGTTATCCCCAGGTGAATCTATTCACCTTTCACAGAAACAAGAAGTGTCCGGCCTACTACTCTTACCTGGGACAGGGTCCGGGGGGGGAGACACACTTTAGTAACCGATTGGCCCACAGTCCTCCTCTATGCGTTCCCCCCGTTTCCCTGATACACAAAGTCCTCATGAGGGTGAAGAAGCACAAGGCCACAGTCATTCTAATAGTACCAGAATGGTCCAGGCGTATTGGTTTCCTGTCCTCCTAGACATGATACAGGAGGAACCTATAGCCATGCCCACAGTCCCAGATCTAATCACCCAGGACCTGGGGGAGGGGCATCTATGCCACCCAAACTTACTGTCTCTCCACCTGACCATGTGATATATACACGGCTGATGGAGGCAGAGCAGGCATGTTTGGAAGCAGTGATGAGGTTCTTGTTGAAGTGAAGACGTTTTTCTGAGTGGACATTACGAAGGGGGTGCAGCCTTTACAAGCACCCGGTACCGCAGTGGGATCTCAACCTGGTGTTCACCAGATTGATGTGCCCACCTTTTGAACCCTTGGCTACATGTTCTCTTAGACACTTATCGTTCAAAGTGACCTTTATTGTGGCTGTCACATCAGCAAGGAGAGTTTCAGAACTCAGGGCACTAACTGTTGACCTTCTGTATGACAGT